AAAAGAAATATAATTTATTTTAATTATGTGATTTACCTGATTTTGCTAGTGGTGTTTATAAGTCATAGTGATTTTTTTTTCCTACCAAATTAACATGCTCTTTTCTCTAAATGATGATTTTCACATTAGATTCTGTGAATAGGAGTAATATTGATTTTTTTCTTTTCAGTGATGTCTTTTTGCATTGTATTTTAATTGATTTCACTGTCCTTTAAATAAATAAACTGCAATCATTTTACATTTAATCTGTATGCAAATCTATATTATCATTTGCTTAGATGTCAGAAGCTTTATTTATGTTAAAAATTAGGTTTGACCTTTAGTTCATTGGGCTGGAAAAATTGCATTTCCCTGCAAAGTTTTATAAGTTCCTAAGTATTTCTTAAAAGAAAGTGGCCTTGAAAAATATAAACCCCTTAATGTTAATGTTCACTGCTCAAATGGATAAGCAATTTCAATTTTTTTTTCCAGTGATCAGCTTACCTGCTAAAAGTACTAATAATTATTTGCTCAAATGTGACATATGCCTTTGAATTTGAATATTCTTTTGAAGTTTTAGAGAAAAATCCTAGAATAAAATGAGGGAAAATGTGTTAATAAACAATTTTAACCACAAAATCATTACATCAGTGTAAGGTGAAGTGAAATTTCTGTGTTTAATAGAGGAGTAATCTTTTCACAACTCAACCTATCTAATACATTAGATATTATATAGGTATTGGATAAAGTTAGGTATGACACTACACATTTGAATACACATGAAAATATTTAGGAACAAATTTGTGATTTTAGAAAGAAACTAAGTGAATCTATAGTCTATTAAATAAATAATTCATTAATTAGCACTTTCCCTCAATTTTCATAATTTCTTGTTCCTGTAAGGTATGGGAGAGACACTGTATACTCTACCCCACTTTCCGGGACAATAAGGAAAACATGCTTTTAGAAATTAACTTTCTAACTCACTCTGGGCACAAAACCAAGTTATTCTACAGAAAGTAAATGCATTAGTGTGAAGTTTCAGAGAAAACCATAGAAATCAGGTTTCCTCTAACCCTCTGACAGACACTGAAGAACTTCACAGAGGTGAATATATATGTATCTTGGTACCTTATTCTGAACAACAGCTTCTTTCTACAGAAACTTAAATGATCAGAAGATTTTTTTTTGGTATTTTTTTGCTTTACTCAATTGCTCAAATAAAGCAAATAGAAAGAAAATTACTTTATTTTGTCTAGGCAAAATCTAACTTGGAATTTGTATTTTTCAAATTTCTGAATCAGGAGAAAAATGGAAAATTTTGGAACTTACTACGAAATAAAATGATAAGGAAACATTTCAAATCGAGCCAACACTTCCAGTATTTCATCATTTTAAAAGATTTATTTGGACCAATTTAAAGTTTTCTTATCTAGTACTTAAGGATGTCTGGTAATGTGTATGTTCCAGAATGAGTCACTGGAGCAGTGGCCTCTACATATACCTGCAAATGTCATGAACCGAAACAAATGCCCCAATCCCTACACATTCACTCTCCAAATTCCTCTTCAAGGAAAAATAGGTTTGATTGCAGCATGAAAATAGGACAGAAAGTACATCTCTAAACATGTAATTTCAATTGCCACCACTGACTTATGGAAGTACTCAGCTCCTGTTGCCAGAATATTATTATTAAAGGGAGTTGGGGTTTTTTCCCCCTAAGTGTGAAGACTGCTTATGCACCAGAGGGTCTGCCAGCTGTACTGGTGGCAATATGACATGCAAGAAACCAGAAAAAACATTTTAACAGAAGACAGATTCCTGAAGTTGCCTGGCTGGAAACAAAGCTACATCTGTGCATCTGATTTCAAGTGCCTCTGCTGCAGAGGGTAGGACCTGCAAGTACTTGTACTCTATCTTAACTGCTTCTCCTGGAAAATACACATTGTTAAAGCTAATTTAAAAGGAGTTCTGGCCTTTTCACATAAGATAACAAATTAGACATGCTCTACACATATGATCACTCTGCAGACTGGTGCTTTTACAGCTGGGTAGTTGCTACAGCAAAGTACCAATTAATCAATTACCTTTAATTAACTTGGAGAGAAAAGAAAGACAACAGAATAATGAAAACACAATTCCTGCAAAATCAAACAGAAGATCATGAGGGCTTAGCAGAGGATTTTTAGGTTCTTTGTGTGTGCTTGCCTAGAGTATATAGGGGGACAGGAGGCTGAGGAGGGCTGTGAACCCAAACCAGGCTGATCCCCCCACAGAACACAGCAGCCACAGAATATTAAGACTTGAGATAGAGGTAAAAGTTGGAATGATGGAGCTCCTTGCAATGCATAAATTTTCTGCCACAGTGGTAGAAAACCTGGGAGAGGAGATGGAGGTAAATAAAGGAGACAAGTGACATAAACTAGTGGACAGAGCTAGATACAAGGGAGGGAAATGACAGCAGATGATCAAGAGAGTATCTAAAAACTCCTTTGAGAGGAACTGTTCCTGTTTCTTCTTCCTCTTACACCATGGGCAATGAATTTTGTTACCCTGTGAAAACCAAGGGGATTTATCCCATTGAAGCCTCTCTGTAAAGCTCATGGGAAAATGAACATCGAGGATTTTCTTGCTGATATCAGAATTTCTATGCATTCATACTCATAAGCCTTGTATTTCATTCAAGGTGCTGGAACAGTCATTTGCTTAGATACTCTGAAGAAAATAAAAACAATCTTCAATAAAATCCCTATTGAAGGGATTTCTTAGATGAAGGCAGACTTTCACATTCTGTGAGGTCTGGATCACAAATCTAAGAAACATTATTTCTTGGTTTCATGTAAACTCATGAAGATTTGATGAAATTGTACTATTTTTCACTTTCTCAGAGAGAACAAGTACATGATCATGTAATTAAAGATTACATTATAATTCAGCTATTAAAGAATGTTCTCAAAAAATGTGTTACTTTTTACTTCTCTTTGCAACTACATTAATTTATTTTCACTCATCCTAAACCCACTCTTTGTGCTCTCTGTTCCTGTGCTACCTCTTCATAACTTGATCTAGATCTGCTTCTGTGACAGAAAAATATTGTGTTGTTTCTTAGCTGGGATAAGAGAGTTCCAGTGGGCTGATCAACAATAACAACAAAAACAATAGAAAAGGGAAAGCCTGCAAATACACCAGAGAAGAGATGTGAAGTCTTTTAGCGCAGGATCAAAGACTATGACACTTGAAAAATGGAAAGATGTTCATTTAAAAAAAAAGCAATTCTAAGACAGAGGATAGCAATTTAAATTATACTCTTTAAAAACACAGTGTTGATACTGTTTCCTTTCTTGTCTCTGGATTACTTTGTGGAGAAATTTTTATACCTGCTCACAGACACACACAGAGCACATGTGAAAGTCACTATTGCAAACTGCTATTTTATTTTTTAGATTCCTGAGATAAAAGATCCTTGGTCTATTCTCTCACAACTTCTCTTGGTCCACTTACAGTAGGAGAACTGGTGTTTTTTCTTGTATAAAATGATAGTGTTCTATGTAACAGCTGGGAGGTTTTGTCAGATATACTAAGAACAGGGATGAAAAAGTGTTAGTGTCCCTGATTTTAGTAGTGGAGATGAAGGAGAATTTTGCAAACTGTGTTTATAAAAATCAGTACCCTTCTAAAAGACCTCATTCTAGTTTGTGTTGTGACAAGCCAAAAGCAGCCTTCACCAAAATAGTTTTTGTGCATTACTCATAAGAAAGAAAACAAGTGAGGGAAAGTGCACAGAACTGTAGGGCAGAACTCAAGTTTAAGTCTACAGCTGCAAGCTGACAGATAGAGTGGAACTGAGAGAAGACATATTTTGACAAACGAGAAATTTTCCACCTTAAGATGGTCTTGGATGAAGATTACTCTGCAGCCCTGTTGCCAAAATTGGCAGATAAGCAATGAAATTTTGTGGCAGTTCATATATGTTAATGACAAGCAAACCAAATTTTGTGCTGAAGAAATGTCAGTACCTATATTTGGCCCACTATCCAAAAAAGATATTGAGTAACTATTTTAAAATATTGCATGCACTGGCAGTGATCTGATCCTTTCAAATATTTTGCTTTCAAAAATGTATATAATCCTAAACCATTTCAATTTGGTGGAGGTTTCCAAAAGATAATATAAAAATAGTAGATATTGAAGCACAACAAAAATGACCAGATTTTACCTAATGCCCTTTTAAGACATTGTATAGTGATGTAGCAATAATAGAAATAAAATGAAAATATTTTTGTTACACTCCAACTCAGTTGAAAAACTGCCATGAACTGGAGGTTATCCACTGATTCCTTCTGTGCAGTCTCTTTCTGAAATGAGAAGTTTATAGCAAGGCAAGATGAAATCTTTGTTTAGTTTGCCCAATATTTCTTCAGTAGTACTCTGTGGAGAACACTCCTACTTTCTTAAATCTGAACACTCATCTGGCACACTGATGAGTAAGTCCAGTACATAATTCATGACCATTTTAGGACAAAGTTCTAAAATTCAGGCTTGTTCCTGACTGCATTTGGCTTACTCAAGCTTAATGTTAATGCTCTTCCACTGGTGTACTGAAAGTTGCTTCTGGGTTTTTGTCTTCTAAACACACACACACACATATTTATATTTTATTCTGTGATCACTAAATCATGGAAAGTATCAATGTACAAGACCCTTATATCTATAGTAGCCAGAAGCAAAATAGGCCACATACAGTCCCATAATACATGTTTGTTCCAAATGCATGAAAAGCTCCTGAATTGTCTCTAGCAAGCACATCCATCAGCATGGTTACATCTCTGAGTAATAACATTTGTAACACATATTACTATCAGTTTAAACAAGACTGCCTTTTCCTTGTATTTCCTTGTATATTTTCCACATTCCTTCCTAAGATTTTGTAGCCAGAACACACAACTAGTTCATGCTATCCTTTAGCAGAGGCTGTTAAATTATTACTGTTTTTGTGTGTTAAATTTACCACTTTCTTACAGCCTGGATTCCCAAAAAGAGATGAAGAAGCTGCCATCAGCTGGAAGCTTGTGAGCCTTTGAACCTCTTCTTGCTCCCAGATTCACTTCCAGAGGACACTTCTGGGGGAAGAATGGTGTTTTCTCTAACCCCATGATCTCTCTTGTCTAAACTCAGGTACAAATGGTTCCCAGGGAAGGAGAAAATAGTGAAGCTGTGTGGCCATGAGGTTATTTCCATAGTGTGTAGGAAACAGCATAAGTAACTGAGCAATACTAACAGTGGGGAAAGATGTCAATTCATATATCAAGTTTTAAAGAAGAAATCTGTGGCCTGCCTTAATATTTCATATTCTGGTTTTTAGAAGTTTAATAACTTCTTGCCCTATAAGCGGGCAAGACATGGCTGAGCAATTTCAATTGTGTCAACAGCATTTTACAGAGCATTTTACAGTAATTATTAAAATGACAGACTTTTATAAGGATTTAATTCACAATGTGCTGCAAAAGTGATTAAAGAGGAACATTTTAAAGCTAGTATTACTATTTCTTCATATGGCAAGAGATTCGTATTTTTGGAGGGTACTGCAGAGCACATGATTACATGATCAAAATCAATGGTTGTGATACTCTCCCTTATAATTAAGAAAACTACTAAACAGAGTCCTCAGATGCACCTGATAAAATGCAGTTTTGCGCTGTGATACATGGAATGAGAGAAAGTGGGAAATAACAGTAGCTCAAAATGCTCATCATCCAGGAAAAGGACAAAAATAGCTCCCAGTTCCTTGCTAACATGACAGTAAGAGGCAGGTACTGCGTTTGCTTTGGAAGTAAAAAAGTGATCTTGTTAAATTTATGTGGATGGGAAAGGTTTCAGACACTGGCAAACACCTGCAGAACAGAATGAAGAATCAGCTGTGGTACAGAAGAGAAGCTAGAAAGGGGTTAATGGTGAGCAGAGAAAGGAGTTAATGTATCAGGGATAATAACTAGGCACTTCTGTTTCTAGGAGATTCTTGAACATTAGTATTTTCATGTTTTGGTATGATTTTGAACAGTTCAACTCAAGTTTTCTGAAAATATGATTCTCCTTTTTAACTTGCCATCTTTTTGTGATCTCCTAAAGGCTTAAGTTTGTAGAATGTTGCTGTCAAATGGAGGACAACTTCAGGGAGTTATAGAGATCTAGATAGATATAGATATAGATAAAGATATAGATATAAATATAGATGTTATATAGATGATATAGATGATATAGATATAGATGATATAGATGATATAGATATAGATATAGATATAGATATAGATATAGATATAGATATAGATATAGATATAGATATAGATTAGATATAGATATAGATATAGATATAGATATAGATATAGATATAGAGATAGATATAGATATAGATATAGATATAGATATAGATATAGATATAGATATAGATATAGATAGATGATATAGATATAGATATAGATATAGATATAGATATATAGATATAGATGATATAGATATAGATATATATTGCAGGTATAGACATAGATCATAAAAAGTTGTATATATAATTTTTTATATATTTTCCAAATACTTGCAAGCACTTTTGAATCCTTTGATGACCTTGCCAAAAAACACTTAAGTGGAGTCACTTCTCTGAGACCACCACTGCAGTCTTGTAAGGGAGTCAACAGACTTGGCAGGTAAAGCAAAAAACAGAACACCCAAAAGCAAATATACAGGGTAGGGAATGTATGCTACTCAAATGTGAGGTGACTGTGTCTTCTGCTTTCTCCTGGCAGGTTTTTTCCCCTAACAAATGCATTGTGAGCATTCCATGAGAAGTCAAAGGCTGCTTGAGAAGATAGAACCTGGTGGGTTTTTTATCTTACTGGAGCATAATATACCAGGAACAACATTCCCAGAACACATGAGCCCTGCTTTAGCATTATTCATTATGATAAACTTGCTTAAACACAGAATTTTTCTTACATTAACATAAAAAATCTTAACATATAGAATTTAATCCAAACTTTTCTGACAAATGCAGTTTTTCAAACTTTTTATGTAAAGTCTATCAAGTTTCATAGAAATCCATGCAGACAAAAGTATTTCATTATATTAGATATTTTTTAATGTTCTGATCACAGAGATTTCTCATAAAACATTTGACCTATTATTTTATCTTCTTAGCTTTTCTTCTGTCCCTCAGATTCACAGTGCTCTAAACAAAAAGGCCAGGAAAGTTGTCAGTGCCAAAAGAGTATGAGATCAGCTATTGCAAAATGCAACAAAAAAAACCCCAAATAAACAAACAAGCAAACAAAAAAACCCAAACAAATAAAATTAATATAGCAACTTATAATTGCATGACACTTGAGTTCAAAAATATTTCACATAAAATATTATCCTTCTCTTTCTTCAAGCATGCAGTAACTATGCTTCCAAGCTAAAGGTGATGTGGAGTAAAATTAATCCTTCCTTCTGAAAAAGAAAAGTTCTGGTTTTCCTAACTTTAGGACTTCAACATTGTGATTTGAATTAAGTTAAATAAAAAATGGCTGTTTGAATGATTACTATCTGCTATCCAATGAAAATTTTCTACATGTCTGTCATCCAATAATCTCTTCCTTGCCCTTTTAATTTGTAACACTGTTTTCCCTACTATCTTAAACTTCTGTGAAATGGTAATGGCTTTCAGATTAGAGAGGAGGACAAATTGCAGAACTATAGTCAGACTTTTGAAAGAAGAATGCTTGGTTCAAAGAGGAAGCATGCAACTTTCCATCATGAATTCCTAGACTTGACTCCAACTTTTATATTGAAAACAATTCTACTTCCAGGCTATGTATCTATTTTCAATTAAAATATCATATTTAATCTCACATAGATGGAAAACAGAAATATAAAGCAATATAAAAGTATGCACTTTTAATTTCAACAGTTCTTGTTGGTTTCTCTCTTCTTTTGTCTTTTTTCTTGCAGATGCACTTTACGTATGATGTCAATGTGATCAGTCTTAGCAAGAGGTTCTTTCTGAGAGATATTTCAAATGTACTATAGGCAGTTAGGAAAGAAGAATGTATTTTCCACTGAAAATTAATTTTATTTCATTTTAAAAGGCCAAAATACATTTGTGGCTTTACTATTCTTGAGAATTCTGCTCCAAACAGAGGTTTCCAGCTTATTTCCAGCCCATCAACTCCCACTGATGCAATGTGGGTTGTTTACACTTCCTACTGGGAATCTTAATATTTTCACTGTCTTCAAAAATCACCTTTGTGCAGCTGAGGTGTTTTTCAAAATTCAAGCAAAACCCAAGAGACCACTTTAGAATTCCAAATTTCCTACATTCTTATCAGCTTTTTTTCTTCTTGGTCCTGGTTTGCACTTATCTTTATTCTCAACTTGTTCCTTAGACAGCATACTCTTTAAGAAGATTTTGGCATAAAATACAGCTGAGAAGGAAATAATGTATATTAAAAATAGCAGGGATTCCACATACATGAAAGGCCTGCACTCACTTGTTTTTAGGTGCATTTACATTTATTCTTCACTCCAAGATGTAGAAGCTTTTATGAAATACAAAATAAAAAAAGAAAAAATCACAGCATATGAACTTACAAGACACCTTTAACTGCCTGTACCCCTACTAGGTCTCATATCAGGCTATTCCCTATAAAGACTAAATGGATTTTTTTCCTTTGTATTTTCCTTAATACCTCATTTCAACTCACCATGAGAAAAATGAAAAATGTTATGTTAGTACCTCCAAGTCATCAGATTAGAGTCTGTCACAGCAAAACAGCAAATTCCTAAATCTAGGATACCTGACAGAAAAATACAAATCATCCGGAAAAGCAAATTAATGTCATGCTGCTTGTGTTTCATGTTGAATGTGGAATGCAAATAATGATCAACTTATTCAGTAAATAGCACAGTTGGCCTTGAAGGGAATTTCAGCATGTGAGGGTTATAATATAATCTTTTCCATTTGATATTTTGTGTTCTTCTCTGTGAATCAAAAAGGATTTTGTCTGTTTTTTTTTCTTAGACTTCTTCTTTGCTCCAATATATCTTTGAATGCATTATTTTTACTCTATTCTGATGGACAATAGTGATTGATTTTCTGATTACTAGTAAGAGATGTGGGATGGTCACAAAGTAAGTCCCAGGATTGTGTGTAGGCCTGGACCTAACACTGAAGTTGAACATTTTTGTCTTTCTGAAACTTCTTCAGAACTACTTATAAGGAAAGACTATTGCAAACACCTATCCTTTTCAAAAAATATTGAGAAAAAAAAATAATTAAAATTTTATCAAGACATTTGCAAAACAGAAAAAAAAATTAATTGCAAATAATAAAATATGTGAATAAAAGTAAAAAAAAACCCCACTGATAGAAAAATGCCGGGCTCCATTTCATTTTTAATCAAGATCCAATGAAATATTTTGACTTGTACAACATATTTTAAAATGCATATGGTTGAAACAAAACTTTTATATCTCTGATATATTTAAAAACATTGAAAATGGTTTTAAATGTTATCCTGAATTTTATATGTTGCCACTGGGTTTTTCTAGTGTAGCAATACTAAGTTTTTAGATAGAAGGGTCTTGGAAAGAGATTTTTATTACAAATTCTAGAGGTCATGGTACAGTGAAGTAGTCCCAGCATCCTCATTGCCTTTTCTTCCCAGTGGGGGAAAAAAGAAGACTGAAACTGTACATTTTAATGTAATGGTCACAGATAGCTTTTAGCCAGGCACTGCTGAGTTTTTTGGGAGCATGGCACTGCTGAAAAGGCTCAGCTAACCTAACAGAGTTTGGCTTCAGGCAGTCGGTGTTCTCAGCAGACACTGAAATGGAGTAACACAGATTCTCTAAGCTCAGATTTAACCTTCCTTTCTCTTTCAATCACTTTGATTCATATGAGCTCTTGATCACTCCTGCCCTGTGCCTTGTGGTGCCACAGCCTCCAAAGAACAAGGCAGACACAGTGGTGCAGTGCCAGCAGCAGCACCTGGGAAACAAATCTGTCACCTGGTCACCTTCTGACTCTTCTCGAGCATTCCTCTCTTTCTCAGCATGCTCTGTGCCTTTCTGAATCATTGACTAAATTATCCTAGTACCTATCCTAATCAGCCAAGATTGATCAGTTTTAAAACAGAGAAATTACATTAACACAAATCATTTCATTTCCTCTAATTTCATCAAATTAAACAGAAATCTGGATTCAGTAATAAATAAATTAGGCAAAAAGAAAAATTTGCAGTAGAAATTCACACCTTACAGTCTCAGTTCTTTACACAGAATAAAAAATATACTGCAATTACACAGTTGTTTTGTTTTCAGTAGTCCTTGATAGAACTGAAGGGAATATGATAGGCTTCTAAGTGAGATTAAGAGCTTTCATTGGTGATAGAAGACATGTATCTATATATACACACACACATACATATTTACCTCAGTTCAACCAAACTGTAAACCTGGGCTTAAATTTCTCCCTGCATACATAAAGTACATAAAAGTGTATTTATCTCTTTAAGGCATGTAGACCTATTTACTCTGATTTTGACTCTGCTGGTTTTGGCTGGGATAGAATTAATACTCTTCATGGTGGCTAGAATAGGGCTACAGTTTGGATTTGTGCTGAACACAGCGTTGATAACACAGGGATGTCTGAGCTATTGCTGAGCAGCACTTGCACAGCGTCAAGACCTTTTCTGTCTCTCACCTTACCCTGTCTGCAAGGGAATTGGGGGTGCACAAGAATTTGGGAGGGGACACAGATGGAACCCAACTGACCAAAGGGATATTCCATACCATTTGGCATCACGGTCAGCACATAGAGCTGGGGGAAGAAGAAGGAATGGGGGGACATTCAGAGGAATGGTGTTTGTCTTCCCAGGAGCCCAGCTTTCTGGGGAATGGCCAAACGCCTGCCTGGCCATCACAAGTGGTGAATGAATTCCTCATTTTTCTTTTCTTGCATGCATGGCTTTTGCTTTGCCTATTAAACTGTCTTTATCTCAACCTACATCTCACTTTTTCCAGTTCTCTACCCCGTCACACCATGGGGAGTGACCAAGTGGCTGCCTGGGGCTTAGTTCTAACTGAGTTTAAACCACAGCACTGGCTTACTTGCTGCTCACATAAACAGCAGTTTAGTGGCTTCTAAATCTCACAGTTCCCACTCATTTAGTACTAGTTTAAATATACATAAAATGGGAGTGATCAGAGGGATTTGATGGGAGTGTGTGCTGGGAGAATATTAACCTCGTTTTAGCTTAGTCATTATTTCACTTAAAAAATTACAGAAATCCCTGACAAATAAAGTGATGGATACTTTTTATACTTAAAGGACTTCCTACAAGCAGGAAACCAGGAGTGGGAGGTAGGCATTGTGTGCTTAATTTTTATCTTTTGCCAGGTGGCCTGTACCACCGAGACTGGGGTATCATGAAGTTTAAATCCTGAAAATAACTCAATTTTTCTATTTCGGATGATAGAGGTAATCCATCTTCCACTTCTTGAGACCTGGAGTGCCAAACTGCTCATCATCAGTGTTTATGCCTATTTCCCCTGTTTTAACCTGGTCACACAGCCATACTGACATACCATTTCTGGTTGTGCATCCCAAGTTCCCTCTGAATACTTCCTTCTTTGCTCTTTCTTGCTCTGCAAGTTTGCCCAGCATCTTAGGAAATGTTGCACCTGACCTTTTCAAAAGGGCAAGGCTATATCTTTGTTTATACTACAGATAATCAGAGACCTCAGACTAAATGTCCACCTCTGTTTCAACATTGCTAGACATAAACATCCTACAAGTTTTATCAACACTCTCCTTCCAGCTGGCAATCAAACTGTGCTATGGTGTTGAGGTGAAGTCAGTCTTTGTTCCTCCAACCGCAGAACATGCTTAGCACAAATGACACTCTTCCACAACACATGAATCTCTTCAACTTTGTCAATTAAATTTTACCCTGAAGTTCTTCCTGTAATTTCTGTTATTTTTGTGAGTTCAAGTGTTTGCATTGCACATGCAAGACAGCTGTACTTGCAGTGTGCAGGTGTTGGAATTTTACAGCATATGCGTGTATCAAAATAGAAACTTTAGTGAAGAACAACCCTTCAGTCAAACAAGCCCTAAAATGTTCACAGATCAGGTGAGCTTGCTTTTTTGTCCTTCAGGTGTTGAGGGTGATAATGCACAATTTGAAAACTGTTTTTATTCAACTGGAGTTGAAATAGATGTATTTGTGTGTGTGTGAGTGTACAAATGTGTGTATGCATGCACATGCATAGATACACGTCAGCTGAGAAAAAAAAGCAAACAAACAACATTTATCCTCATGGAAGATTACAGATAGTTAGGTATTAACAATATTGAGGAGGAAGTAAGTTCAGAAACGCATGACCTGTAAGGCTAGGCCAAAATGCAACATTAAAATTGAGCAAAATATACAACTAATCTTGATATTTAAGATTTAGGTCACTATCCTCTCTACTTTTTTTGCTTTTTCTCACTTAAAAAATAATATTAAATGCAAAAAGGAAATAGTGCCCCAAGGTAAGGTCATTCCAAGTTATATTCAATGAAATTAACCCTCATATTCAGCCTTGCTTATTATATATTTCTTAAATATGCTACTTCACTGAAGGGACAAGACCTCATGTTCATATGAAATTATATAACCTTTAAGCCTCAAGAAACTTTCTCATGTATTGAAAAATCTGATACCTGAAAAAAAAAAGTCAACTAAATGCGACACTAAATAAGTTGTTCTATTTGCTAAAAAAAAACCAAAAAACAAACAAAAAAAGGGATGAAAAAATGGATTAGACTTCATTTGCATGAATAAATGAAGTTACAGTCCAATTACCATGCTAATCTAATTACTACTGGACAGATTTCTGAGTACATCTGCAGACTTTTTTGTCAGAACTGAAAGAGAAAAACAAGGAAAAATGTGAGGATATTTGTATTGTCTAAATCCCTTCGGCAGCTGCAGTCTAATTTGTTTTGTAAGACAGAGCAAAGACAAAACTGCTTCAAATAGTTTTGCCTAATGACTGTCTCGCAGGGGCCATTACATTGTCCTCACCTATCAAAACACATAGGATATTAGCTGCAATGCCTTCATTTTAGCCTGGAACTCTGTGACCTCTAAGGAATCCTTAGTTTTCCTGTTTAGGAAAATTTCCGACTCCATATGCCATCAAGATTTGATCTAAGTTTGGCCTATTCGACATAATCTCTCTTATAAACTTTCATTTCATTTCTCTTTGTGAAAATGGAAGTAGGGCAAAGGAGAAAACTAATTCTTCTTTGTCATACTGAACAATATAATTTTAAGTGCTTAACCTTTCCTAATATGCTTTAAGCATCAAACAGAAATAGCTGCAGTCCTTGTTCTAACCATTCTTTAATGAGATAGAACACTGTACACACACCCATATTTTATATGAGATGACATCACATTAAATGACTCTCAAGAATACTGCAGATATTTTAAAAATATCCATTTTTTTCTTAAAGTGAAGTAGTTGCTAAAAAGTTCAACACACAGAACATTTAGAGTACGTATTTAAGCCCAGATTGTATTAAACCTTTTGGACAAAATCCATTTGCAGCCTCCAAAACTGACTTCTAATATGATAACTCTAAAACTTGGGTGTCACGTTTCTTTCTCTGTCTTGGCTTTGGCACACCATACTTTGAATTCTTGCCTTTGGAAAACCTAATCACCCATCACAGATGAATTTGACCCCCCAGCTCAGAACAAAGAGAGGA